AAATTAATAAACAAAAAAGTATACAAATAAAAAATACTGAAATGATCACAAAGTAATGATAATATTTATATAGTTATGGTATAACCCAGTGAACAAAATGAACGTAGTAAGAATGTAAATAAAATTTTATACAAAAAATATACTAAAAATATACATATATAAAATTATAGGGGGTTTCTAAATTATAAATGTTATCTGTGCTTGGCCTTAATTGGTTGAATGGGATTCCTCCGGTAAAAAACAGCCTTTTTTCAAAAATTTTTTCTCAAATAAAAAATGAAATATTTTGTCCGAATTTTTTATTATTACGAAGATACACTATTAACAAAGAAATTGTAAAATTTGCTTACAGGATCATCTAAAGTGAAAAATGCGTGTTTTAGTTAAAACCTTTTTCTTAGAACTTGGACGAAGGAAAAAACTGACTTTTTACGAAAAAATTCAAATTTAAGTGAAAGTTTCGGAACAATTATTTTTCAAATATAATATTTGTAATCGAAAAAAACTCATTTATCTAAGTCTTTAAGAATTCTATCTCAATGACTTATAAAATTTCATGAAGATCGGTTGTGTAGTTCTCGAGAAATATTGCCAACCGACTTCAAAAACACAGTTTTCAGAAAAACGCGCTTAAAAATCGATTTTTTAAAGCCCGTAAACCTCTTTTCATATAAGGACTTGAATCCGTTTGTTCAGTTTGTATGTCAGCTATATGCTAAAGTGAAAGAGAAGAGCACTTTATGTCAGACCGAAGTGTCCAAAATTGAGGGTCGCATATGTACAGACAGACATACGAACCTGGCTAAACGGATACAGTTCGTTATATCTAGATTGTATAAAGTCCCGACTTTTCCTTCTGGGTGTTACAAATTTCGTGGCAAACCTTAGGCTATAAAAATTGATTTACTGGGTAGCGTGTTTGGCATGAAAATTGTTGTTTATCGCGTCAAATACATACACACGCATATACAAACATATGTACATAACTCAAATTGCTTGCTGTTGCCATTACTTTACTGTTTATGCCGAGAACACTGGTCTTGTTTCTGTTGAAAAGCGACACTAATTGGAGTTGGTCATCGCTGACGTTGGCAAGGTCAGTGTAAAGCGCTTAATTCATTGAAATAAAAAGAAAATATTTACGTGAACGCACAGTGAACATGTGAACTTATTAGCAAGGGTTATTTTATTTATTTATTTATTTATTATTTTTTTTAGTCGTGTTCTAAGAAAGATCAAATAGTGTCAATTGAAGAAGTCAACAAAAGTGCGAAATGGATTGTCGATACGAACTTTAAGTGCTTGCAGCTATTTGTGTGGTTGTAAATGTAGCATATACATATGTATGTATGTAATTTTTATTATTTTGATACATATTCTCCAGCAATTAATTTGAAGTCATGTTTTTGCAAAAATTTATACAAAGGCATTTTAAATTAAGCTTTTAGTGGTTTTAAAATATATATTTCAATAAATAAATATATAGACCAATAAATATATAGTTTATAATAAAAAAATAATAATATTATAATGTACTTACAAACATATACATACATATGTGCATATGTATGTTCATTCATGAAAACAGTTTCGAAATTATAAACGCGCTCAGCACATTCCAACTAGCGGCCGCATCTGGTTGGCGGCAACTGCACTTGTCGGCTTTGTAATTGTCACAGAGCAGCTTTTTGATGTTGTCACCAATATGTAGAAATTGAGCAAAAATGCGCAAAAAGCTTGCATTATACGATGCTTGCCAAAAGCCCCGTGCTCAGGCCGCAGTTAAGCCAGCGACCAACAGCGCAGCACCAAACAGTTTGCATCGAACGGCGGCCGATGCAAGTTCAGTTTCAACTTTAAACCGTTAAGAAAAGTAAACGAACAGACGACTGGCGGCTACGCGGACAATTTAATATTCTGAGCCAACAAAGACTGTGTGCTGTGCGAAGAATTTGAGTGAGGACTAGCCTTTGCATATTTAAAGTCACAATAAAAACAGGAAAAAAATTACTAAAACAAATGCAACAGTGATTTATAGCATTTGTTTTTGTAAATGCGGCACAAATATAGTAAACAAGAAGCAGAATTAGCTACAAATACAAATTGTTACCGTAATTTAAGTGTAAATATTTTCGTATTATTTTTGAGGCATAAAAATAAATTTGCAGTGTGCATACATACATATTTATACTTTCATACATTTACGTATGTATGTAAAAATATATGTATATGAATGTATACACGGACATTAGACTGCATTGTGGCGTCTGCTCGACTGTCTGCCTGTGGCTTCGTTACCCATTGGGGAAACCAGTAAAAGGCCCACATTCGCTGCAACAAATGCACCAGATCGGCACTTCCACTTCCGCATTTTCATGCAGCGTGCACAAGCATGCACAGACACACATGCATGCATATATATGTACTTGCAAGTGCACATATACATAGAAGTACATACTTTTATTCACAAACTTTAAACATTGTTGCTGTGCAAACCTACTGCTGTGTGCCACTATTGCAACAAGTTTAATGTTGCACATAATGTCAGCACACCCATTGCGATCACTGTAATGTAATGGTAATGGCGTTTGAAGCCAGTTTTCGAGATAATTGGAGGTAGAAATTGCAATTTAGGTTTTTGAAAGTATTTATTTTGACTTGATTCTAATTTTGTCAAAGCATTTAGGAAAGTAAAACGTATATCGATAAATTTGGAAAATAGAGTAATTTTTTGGGCATACTGTTGATTATTTATTGTTGCAATTAAGTATTTTTTTGTAATTGTCTTATTTTCCCACCCTTAAATATTAAGCAGTACTGTTCGCAGAATTTTTTGGAAAGACTCTTTGTTCGTAGTGTTTCCGTCAATTCAAAGCTTTGATTTTTTGAGGACCTCCAGTTTGAAAATGCATAAAGAATTAAAATTTAAGTGTTGTTATGCTCGAATTTTTTATGTTGTAAGGACTAACTCAGTGTGTGCTGAAGAGAGTTTTCAAATTCTGAAAAATGATAGCGCTTGGACATCTCTTAAGCAGTAACAAACTTCTGAAGGTATTTACAACAGAAAACAAAAAAAAAAAAAACAATTGTTACCTTCATTTGCACCGTAGAGCGTTTCCATCCAAGAACTTTAATTTGATCGATCAGTTTACATGGCAGCTATATGCTATAGTGGTTCGATTTAAACAAAATATGCGCAGATTGTACTGTTATCTTGAGCAATTTCGTAAAGATATCTCCTCAAATGAAAAGGACAAATGTCCATACAATAGCTTTAATGTGATCGGCCAACATGTGAGGCAGCTATATGCTATAGTGATCCGATGTAAACAATTTGTTCGCAGATTCTGCCGTTGCTTACAACAACAATTCTTGCCAGATTTCGTGAAGATATCTCGTCAAATGGAAAAGTTTTCCATACAACGTCTGACTTTTGATCGTTCAGTTTGTATGGCAGCTGTATGCTATAGTCAGCCGATCCAAACAATCTCTTCGGTGATTGTACCATTGCCTTTAACAATGATTTATGCGAAATTTCGTGAGGATATCTTTGCAGATCAAAAAGTTTTTCATATAAGAACTTTATTTTGATTGTTCAGTTTGTATAGCAGCTATACGCTACAGTCCTCCGATATCAGCAGTTCCAACATACATATGAGCAGCTTCTTGGGAAAGAAAAGAGCGTATGTAAAATTTCAGATCGATATCTCAAAAAGTAAGGTACTTAATCGCGTATATACAAGCATACGGATATGGTAAAACGACTCAACTCGTCGCTGCTCATTTATAAGTATATTTTATAGGGTATCCAACTACTTTAGGTATACCTTAGAGACCCTTTGCATATCGGGAGCAAATTTTTCTTTCCGATTTGTTGAGTAGCGTAGTTACTATTCTGCTATATCTTTCAGGGTATATTCATTTTTCACGACATTTGTAAAAGAAATTTATCTAGAAATGATCAGATTACGAATTTGGGTTAAAAGAATTTCCTTCAGCTTCCGTTAGTTTTGTCATTTTCATAAATGGTGGTAATTTGACCCTTACATTCCTTCATTACAATATAAAAATACCATGTTTAAGGACCGTTTTACTATTATTTTCGGTTTTAGCAACCCAAAATTAAAAAGAAACTGCCTCTAACAACACAGCCTTAGCTGGTGCTACCCATCAACATTACATTTATGAATTATTTCAGTTTTATTTTATTTACACACACTGAACTAGTTCATACCGCAAACACGTTAATAGAACTTCAGCTAAAAGCACATAAGCTTCTTGAGCCGCTACCCACTTTTCTAACTTTTTTCACAACAATCAACAACAAATATTGAACAATTAACATACCGCATGGGCAAACAGTTGAAATAACAAACAGCAATTATTTGCAACACATCCAGGCATGCAATTATCGTGTCGGCATATCCAGCTGTTGCGTTAGCACCAACGACAGTTGATTAACCCCTCCCTCTGCTGTTATTGCTGCCAAAGCACCAAAGCAAGCAAGAGGCGCGCCACTGGACACTATGCAATGGAGTAGCGGAAAATTGTTGCAGACTTCGTTGCAACGCAAACATTTCGACGGATTTGCGCATGTTTAGGAAACGCGTTTGCTGCTCACCGCGACGCATAAAATCGGATGCACAAGTGAGGTGGTGGCGGTGATTTGCGCAAACCACACTCTAAGCATTCACATTTCATTTTTGCAACATTTAGCGTTGCATTAAAGCATAATCGCACACAGTTTTGCAATTGCAACATGCAGTAATCGCCAACCGGTCTGTCGGACCAGTTTCGTTCGATTAATTCTCTGTCTGGCATTTTGTGCAAACGAAAGTGAATGTGCTGACGGCTAAAAGCTACGTTTCGCCGGCTTGAAAAAACATAAACAAACTTTGCTAGCATTAGTGTTTGTTGTAAATATTTACCTGTTTTTATTTTGTTGTGTATGTATGTTCGTGTATGCATATATATGCTTAAACATATTTACGTATTTGTAGATTCAGTTAGCCTAGGCGTGGACAAAGCCGCAAGAAACCATACAAACGTTAATCACGTGTGACTGCGCACCTTCACAAGCCCCATTTGTATTGTGTGGTATAAAATATAAAAAAGTTGCAACATGATTGAACGTGAAGTCATACAGTAAGTAAATATGTGTACAGTATTCTGGAATTTAATCGATTATTGTTGAATGTATAACATTATAATAAATATATATATTTTTTGTATTTGTATATATGTATGTACATATGTGACCTGGTCTACGAAAAGTGAGCTAACGTGCGAAAACTAGTTTTCTGGGAAACAGCTGTTAAAAAAAGAGCATCTCATCTTCCATCCGAATCAACTAAAAAGTGAAAATTGATTTTTTGACACCTAAGCCCCCTTTCCGTAGACCAGGTCACATATATATAATTTCAGTAACATATTCAGAATTAATTGTAAATAATTTCTTAAACATTGATTTTTTTAAATCACTCAATATAGTTTTTTTAGTACTTGAGCCTATTGGGTGAAATAAAATGTGATATATTTAAATAAAATTATTAAAACTCATGGAAATTTATTTTTTTAATCATAAAATCGGAAGTAAAGTTGGAAATTTAATTTTTTAATCGTAAAATCGGAAGTAAAATTGGAAATTAAATTTTTTTAATAACAAAATCTGAATTAAAAATAGGAAATTTAATTTTTTAATCGCAAAATCGGATCGAAAATTAATTAATTTAATCAGAATTAGAAATTGAAAATTGAAATTTTTTTAACCAAAAATTGGAAATGGATTTAATATTTTAATTTGAAATAATTATTTTAAAATTTTTAATTTAAAAATTGGTGTAACAAATAAAAAAATTATTTTTCAAATGAAAATGTAGATTAACATTTTTCTGAAAAAGTGAAAAAGTATAACTAAAAGTAATTAATTTTAATGTTCTAAAGATTGCAAACTTTTTAATAATTTTTTTAGTTTTTGAAAATTAAATTTATAATCCTTAAATCAGAAGTAAGATTTGAAATTTAATTTTTTAGGCACGAAATCGAAATTAGAAATTCAAATTTTTAAGCCACAAATCGAAAATGAAAATTGAAAATCTAATGTTTTAATTTAAAAGCTCAATTTTAAGTTTAAAAATTTGAGTAACAAATCAATTTTTTTCGAATGAAAGGGTTTCATGAATAGGTATACAAAGGAAAGATATACATTTTCCTAACTAAAAAACTATAATTAAAAGTAATTAAATGTAAATTAGACAAAATATGCTGAAATTTTATTGAAACTATGCTAACATTTTAAAAAGACAACTACAACATTTCAAAATATTTATTAAATTATTTTTTAAAACTTGTTTTAACAAGTTTTCATTAGGTTATTCGTATTAAAATATGTTTTTTAATGTGGTATTTAGTATTAAAATTTTAATTTTTTAATTTATGGTTCGATTTTCGGAATTAAAATTGTGGGAATTATTTTTTATTTATAAATCCAATTTTTGGTACTAATCATTAGAAAATTAAAGTAAATAGGATACTAGTTAAATTACTGTTATTTTTTCAATAATATGATACATTCACATCTTTATATATGTATACCTCTATACATTTATGTATGTATTTGTATGTAAAGCTCTTGGTATAATGTTTCTTTGAATGTAAACGGTAAACTAAAAATATACATTTCCAGACTTGTTTTTTTATTTTTTACCCAAAAAATTAAAAAAAAAAATAACAAATAAATACATAAATTTTATGTACTTTGGCATTATATATCTGCTTCACCAATTTTTTTAGTTTACTTTATTAAGAAAACCTCACTCGTTGTTCTTCGTATTTAAGTATTAAAGTTTTGTCAAAACAATCCCTGCCAAATCGGCTAGCTATAACGAATTTTATGCATCAGAAGTCTTGAGGTAATGCCATAAATACTTTTTATTAAGATTGAGATATTAATCTATTGAAAATACTACTTAAGTAATTTTTAGAAATATTATGCAACTGCTAGCTCTATAAAATCAAAATTGCACATTGTAAATATGCACAAACTACTACCACCAATTTATTTAATTAAAATTACTATCACGTTTTGGTTATATTTACTACGTATAAGCATATATACAAACAAACAAACATTTGTTTTGCATTACCATTAACCCAAGTAGTACTCATATTGAATATGTTCCAAAAACGTAGCTTGAACTTGAGAGTATTATCTCTCCACTTAGCCAAGCACTTAACACACTTTCGATTTTCACGCTAAACAACGCCTACATTGCGCCATTCGCAATTTTCCGCCGGCTTGGCATACAAATTCACTAATTAAATTGACAAATTTTGCATTGCATTTGTGCATGAAATGCAATAAAACATAAAAAAACAGTAATTGCTTCACATTTGCGCATGGTTATTAGGTTAATTGATTTTTAAACCATTAAATTAATGTTTTTTATAAACTCATCCAAATGTTTATATTTTTCATTAAATACTAATTGCACTTGTTGCCACATTATCTCCGCAGTCTACCACTGCTATCAAAACACTTCCATCCTTACTTTGTGCACTCTTCATAATGTCGTTGCTTTTGTTTACGTTTCGATAACCGATTTGCCGGCAACAAGTGCCAGATTTTAGTAGTGACAGGAGGTGCGTGTGGACAAACAAACACACATACATATGTATTTATACATAAGAGTTTGCTGGTTTGTGTGCCCTTATTGCGCCCAACAATGGCGTGACATGCAAGCTATAATAATGACCGGCAATTACTAGAAATGCTTAACCCATACGTTAACGACGTTTTTTGTTTTATTTAATATTGATTTTTTTTTTTTTTATATTAAAGTTTGAATTAGCTTAATTTGTTCAGTTTAATTTTTTTGAGTGATCGTCACTGACTTTTGCGAACAACGGAATATTTATTTACATTTCATTCAAAATGAACGAATTTTATTCGTTAATATTTGAACTAGTTTTATCATATTTTAAAATGACAAGATGTTGAATCAAAATCAAGTGCGGGTTGCAAATTTTTTGTTTAATTTTTATTATTTTTATTAATTTTTTTAGTTTTTCTTTCACTCATATTGAAAATATTATTAATATTGAACTATTAATAAAATATAATATTTCAATCGGGGTCAGCTAGGCGTATGAGAAACTTTAATGTCGAAGAAGAAGAAAGTCGAAAGAAGCAAACTACACTCAAGTAAACATAAATTTTAAAGCGATTTGTAAATAATAGAATATAATAAAACTAATAATTAAAATTTGAATGAATTAAAGAATGCATACGTGCACTTGTTCACTTTTTCAGCACAAATAAAACTTCAAAACGCATAATGGACATCATGCAGGATATAAGTGAATTCTTTGTGGTATTTGTAAAAATACTTTTAGAGTTATTGCATAGTCTTTTTGAAAAGTTTATGACCAAAAAGCTGAAGGATATTAGCGGTGAAATTATATTGGTGAGTATTTGTCAATAAACTATTAAATGTTTTTTTTACGAAATCTTTCCATAAAAGCAAGAAAAAAAAAACATATTTAAATCATAAATAAACTTTGTAGATAACGGGCGCTGGACATGGTATTGGACGCGAATTGGCGCTGCATTATACCTCATGGGGTAGTGTTGTTGTCTGTGTCGATATAAATGAGAAGAACAATGAAGAGACTTTGAAGAAAGCTAAAAGACTTATGCAAAATTCTGTTTACGCATACACGTAAGTAAACTGCTGATAAACTATATAAGTGATTTCAGTGTAAAACATATCTTCTTGTAGTTGCGATGTTGCGGACCGTGATGCGGTTTTGAAGCTAGCCGCCAAAGTTGAGGCAGAAGTTGGGCGTGTCTCTGTGCTGGTAAACAATGTCGGCATCATGCCGACACATCCGCTGGAGCAACATACTGCTGAAGAGATAAGACGCGTATTCGATATAAATGTGTTATCACATTTCTGGACACTTGAAGCATTTCTGCCGCAAATAAAGCAACAGGGACGTGGTCATATCATATGTATTTCCTCGATTGCCGGAGTTGTAGGGCTAACAAATTTGGTGCCATACTGTGCAACTAAGTACGCTGTGCGTGGCATGATGGAGGCGTTGCACGAGGAAATACGTGAAGGACCTTACAAGGACTTTGTAAATTGCAAAATTGTTATGCATATTATCCAATGAGTATTTATGTAATTATCTGTTTTATTTTAGATAAAACTCACCATTGTTTACCCTTATATGACTAACACTGGACTTTGTAAACGGCCAAAAGTGAAGTTTCCCTCAATGCTCGGCCTACTGGATCCCAAGGAGGTGGCCAAACATATTGTGGAAGCACACCGTGCAAATGTTTGTGAAACTACAATACCTGGCAGCCTGCTCCATGTCAATAATTGGTGTCGTTTATTGCCTTTGCGGTGTGGTCTTTTACTTAAGGATTATATAGACAGTGGTGTTGAATCAGATTTGTGAAATTGCTTTATCTACAAGCTAAGCTAACTTCAATGTTTATTTTTTATAATTGGTTTTGTATTATAGTGTGTGGTTTTTGGTTTGTAAGTATGTATTATATAATATAAAGAACAATAAAATATAATTGATGTTCGGTTTTAAATGTGTGGTATTTCTTGCATTTAGTGAGACTTTGGTAATATAATTTTACTATTCGTTTGTTACTCAATTGGTTCCGTTGAAATGTAAATCATAATTACGGAATAAATGAATGTATATATCTTAGGATCATTGAGCATAGATTAAATATATAGTTGATAAACCGATTGCTTTTTCTTTTTTTGTAAATATAAAGAAAGTTTTGATATCCGAAATACAATCAGCTGTTTTACACAGGCTTGGAAAAACTTCCATTTTAGAAACATTTTCAAAAATATATTTGCTCTTAAATAATCCTTAAATATTTATCAGAACGGCTTATAATCAAATAATTGTGTTTCGAGTATTATTATTTTTTTTTTAAGTAATTATATTTCATAAATGTATCGCAATTATTTCAAACTGAGTGTTTATCGCCACTATTTTTTACTGTGTATATAAGTCGCCCTGCGTTTTCTATCATAGCAACTCTGTCATTGTTGTCAAATCTCATCAGCTGTAAGTAGACAACAAAACAAAAGCGATACAACGATATAAAGTTCAATAAAATTGTGTATATTTATCAACTCTTTGTTATTTAAAAATAAAAATTAGTTTTGAAGCTAAAGTTTATGCCGTGTAACTGCGAATATGTCATGTGAGGTCAAAACGTTTGGCGAAATCCGCGATTTCCATAAAGTACAGGAATACTTCGGTTTGAGTCATGGTAAGAGCGTCGTCTCTATCGAATTCCCAAATATTTTGAATTAGAAAGCAAAACAAAAATTTGTAACAAATTATATATGTTAAAAACATTTTTAGACGAAAATTGGTTAAATGCCATAAATTTTGCAATTTCACCAACGGGTGAGCTCATCGCTTTGGGACAGGGTGAAAAATTAGCATTACTCTCATCCCAATGGGATAATAAAAGTCAAGTTAGTACTTATGTACTGAGTTGGTGTGGTGAGCTCGATGATCCCAATCAAATTATTACATCGCTACTATGCCTGCCTATATATGGCAAGGGTGTGAGCGCAGGCGCCGAGTGGACTTGTATTGCAATTGGACTTAACTCAGGCATGGTGTTATTTTATACCGACTCTGGCATAAAAATATTTTCACAATGGTATAATAGTATCTTTTACAATATATGTAGTAAAATTTATATTTTCTATTGTTTCGCAGTTATCATGATGATCCTGTTCTCTGCATTAAAGCGTACAGTCCGCCTCGACATTCCGAAGCCGATTCCTTCTTATACATAACTTACAATGAATGTATGTGTATTATTAAAGGCGCCGATATGCTACCACTTTTAGTTAATATGCGTCTTAATTTCAATCGCACATATGGACGAAAGGCAACTATTGACACTTCGGGACTACCCGCCGCCGACTTGTTGCAGTTTCAAAAATTTAAATTTTCTGGCCAAAACGGTGCAATTATTAACGATGCCGCACTCACAGGTTCACGTTACGTTACTATGTATGATCATATCATTGAACAAGCGGTTGGTGTTGGATGTTATGCCAAAGTGAATACAACACCTGTTCAACATTCGATGGTGGTAGGTGTGGGTGCTGAACCTTATATAGGTTTTTACTATGCAGAAGAAGGATATCGAACCACAACACTAGGTGAAGTAGCCAAGGGAGTGCTAGATTTAACGTATCGAAGTGTTTGGGGCAAACTATTTGGCCAGCCAGAAAAGCCGATTGACTCGTCAACTACGCATGCGCAAGAGTCGATGATGCGCACGCGTTGCCGGTTTCATGATGGCAAACGTGACGGCTACACAATTGCACTGGCGCCCAATGGACAACTTGCCGCTGTAACTGACAACTTGGATCGCGTTGTGCTGGTCGATCTGCGGCGTGGTGTATTGTTGCGCGTTTGGAAGGGTTATCGTGATGCGCAATGTGCCTTTGTACCAATAAAAGAACGTTCATTGAAAGGAGTAAAAACACAGCATCGAAAGGCGCTTTTTCTAGTTATTTATGCACCACGTTTAGGTTGTTTAGAGATTTGGGCATTGCAAAACGGTCCAAAGGTGGCAGCCTTCACGGTCACAAAGAGTGGACAATTAGCATATAATACGCATGGCCTGATGGGTGAGTAAATATCCCGAATAAGAAATTAAATTGTTAAGATATTTTTAATTTTTGTTTTATATATATTTTGTTCTAATATATATTCTATATTCTTTACTATCTTTATTTTATTTTTTATATCATA